AAAGACGCCAAATTCTTTCGACCACCGTCCAACTCCTCGCCCCGGCTACAAAACCGAAATTCCCGCCGTTAACCACCCCCTTTCCCCCTCCCATCCCCTCTCGAGTTGGCCAAGATCGAGCAGTCGGATCGTTTGATAACGGGTGAAACAGAGATTCGAGAGAGAACGCGCGGCTTCCAGCTCTTTCCAGAGGGGTTGTTCCCCTCTCTAATCTCCTATGCAATGAATACCAAGAGCGGGCTCCGCGTAACACCGATATATCGCGTCACGTGCAAACAGAGCAGAGCAGAGCAGAGCAGAGCAGAGCAGAGCAGAGCAGAGGAGAGGAGAGCAGAGAAAGAAAAGGCGAGGTATCCGCAATGCTGCTGACCATCCCGGCCCCAGGCGAGGAGGCTCGATTTCAAAGTTTGCTGCGCATGTATCCTTAATTCCTTAACGAATCCACGGGAGCCACTCGATGACTGGCCGATGCTGGCTGCGTAGGAGGATGACGTCGGTGGGGGGAGCGGGAGGGAGGGTTTTCGCCGGTTATAGCTGCTACGAGAAAATAGGAAAAGCTCCGTCGCGGGGCGGCCGGACCGGCGCGATGGACTCTGGTGGGTGGAACCAGTTTGAATCCAGGGATGCCTCGGTAGGTTCGCATGCCCGACGTGGTACCCCCCGCGTCCTCAACCCTGTCGCGCGCCGCGGAGAGGTGTGCGGAACTAGCTTCCACCCTCCACCGGTGGCACGGCACGTAGGAGAGTACCTCCACCACCCGAGACAGAACCTCTCGCCGAGTGTCCTCACCGTTTCCCTTCGATCCTCTCGTTACTACTACTGCTGCTGCTGCTGCTGCTGCTGCTGCTGCTGCTGTCCGTAACGAGCCAACCCGCGAAACGGTGAACTCGGCTCTCGATGCCGCTGGTCCATCCGTTTTGTCATACAACTCGCTCGATCCGATATTCTTCTTTTCATCTTTCTCGAAATTGCCGACGAAAGGCCCCTTTGTTGTTTGGCCGATTTCTTCTGTAGGTAGCTTCTTCGTAGCCTTGGTCGAACGAGACCAAGTCTCCCTTCTCAGATTTAGGGTTGATACCAGATTGACCTAGTTACGATCATCGAGAGATGCAGCTCGAGATGGTGGAGACAAGCATATCGAGGGGAGAAAATGTGAGAAACTAGGGTGAAAAAGCTTGTTTACTGGTCGGGAAGAAAATTGAGGTGAGCCCTGTGGGCCAGAGTTGGACCGTGTTGGTGTGTGTGTGTAATCCTAAGGCTTGTACGACCCCGTGCAAACATAACAACGGGACCACCTACCTAGAGATAACTGTTACAGGGATTAGAGTTTCGGGGTAGGGAATGCGAGTGATATACACGTTCGCATTGGTCGGTTACCGAAACGACCGACTTCAAACTAAGCGAATAAATGCAAGATCCTTTGGTCATCGTCGTCTTCATCGTCACGCACGATCGAGCCAGCGCCCAGTGTGGCGAATGACATCGACGAACGATCCCCTTACTTCCCTTTCTTTCTTTTTTTTCTTTCGTTCCTTCTTTCTTGGCCACGAGATACTGCAACGGGATGTACAGAGAAAGCGAGAGAGAGAGAGAGAGAGAGAGAGAGAGAGAGAGAGAGATACAAAGGGAAGAAAAGATAGAGACAGGTAATAAGGGGATGAGCAGGAAGAGGGTGGCTGGGGTGGAAGCCGCCCCGGAGTCGACACAGCCGTAATGATTTTGTTTTAAGGGCGTGTTTAATTATGAATCCGCATCCGGTTGAGGCTCCACCCCCCTTTGCACGGCACCACCGGCTCTGCAAGAGACTCGAAGGGGTGGGAGAGAGCGCCGGCAGAGAACCAGAGAGGGTGGAGGCAGAGCTGCTTTTGCGGCAGCTAGGTGGCCCTCTTTCGGCCTTAATTGCAGCGTATATTATCCATGCGGTATTTCTAATTACTTATTTTTGCTCGACCGGCCACTCGCTCGGATGACTCTAATATCTTTGGCAGTCAGGCTGCACACATTTAATTGGTGCGTAACGAGCCGGCATCTCTCGTCTCTCTTTCTCTCTCCCTCTCTCCCTCTCTCTCTCTCTCTCTCTTTCTCCTTTCTATCTCTTTCGCGGTCTCCACGTGGCGTGTTCGCCTACGCGGAGCCACAATGCCGTGCAGGAGTGATTTCATGATTCGCGATACATTAGTCCTCTCTGTTTAGTTTAAACTAAAATTCCGCCAAAGTGAAATTGCACAGTATATCGATTACATATATATGCACTTAACCGCATGGACGCGAATCAAGACCCCGAGGATGACATCGCAGAAACATGCTCTCGCGTCGAAAAATCACGGCCCCTCTCTCTCTCTTTCGAGCCGAAGAAGCCACTGAATGAACGCGGCTGCCGCGCACCGCCAGCCTCAATTCCGGCTGGCTTCATCCGCTACTTCTCTCGGCGCCGGCACAAGGAGAAGAGGAGAGAAGGTAGTGCCGGCTCGTTGATCTCGCCGACGCCGCGGAAGACGAAGAAACGCGGATGGTACGCGACGGTGCCGCGTCTCCTGGCGCGATGATCTCAAACAGCCGCGGACCGGGTGAATGAAATGGCCCCCCCCTCCCCCTCCCTCCCGTGCTCGCGTTGTGAAACAGTTTGCGGCTGCTTTTGAGGAGGTTAACCGACACACAGCCCTCGCTCGGATTAATTTCAACCATGGCGGCCACGTCCTCGTAACAGCCCGCCAGAGCAATAAACCTTTCGCGCATCGCTCAACCCCGTCTATAGGGCGCGAAACATGCCGAGAAACCGAGCGTCTCGGTGTTCACGCTTCTTTCTCTCACGTCCGGCCAGCTCTTTTCAGGCGCCGTTGTCTCGCGAGAGCGTTCCTTGGGAGAGTGCGACGCAGCTCGTTTACGCGCTACCGGCTGCGTAGACAGGATGCCTTTGAGCATTCGCGTTCGGCTTGCGCTAATTTGTCTCGCGGGTTTAGCCCCTTTCGGCGAGACAGCGACGGTTACTTATTGATATTCTTTGGCGCGAGACTAGCCTCTCGTTGGAACGAGACTCGCTGAAGTTCGTTCCACGTAGAAGATTAATATAGTGGTTAAGCCCCTCGCGCTGGCAACTGGTTCGCGGACCATAACGAGTGACCAAATACGTATACAACGATTCGTCGCTCTCTGTTTCTTTTGAACTCGCCGGATTGAAATTATCAATAAGTAACAAACTTATCATTTGTTTTGCCTGGGTTACATTTAAATATACTTAAAAAATGTTGCAATTTGGGAAACAAACAATTCTGGTACGTCATTCTAGCGCAAAAGGTTAACCCCTTGCGCTGGCAACTGGTTCGCGGACCATAACGAGTGATCAAATACGTATACAACGATTCGTCGCTCTCTGTTTCTTTTGAACTCGCCGGTATGATATCGCCGGATTGAAATTACCAATAAGTAACAAACTTATCATTTGTTTTGCCTCGGTTACATTTAAATATACTTAAAACTGAGGAAATGTTGCAATTTGGGAAACAAACAATTCTGGTACGTCATTCTAGCGCAAGAGGTTAACTCCTTGCGCTGGCAACTGGTTCGCGGACCATAACGAGTGACCAAATACGTATACAACGATTCGTCGCTCTCTGTTTTTTTTTGAACTCGCCGGATTGAAATTATCAATAAGTAACAAACTTATCATTTGTTTTGCCTGGGTTACATTTAAATATATTATATTATATATTATTATATTATTAAATATATTTTATTGTATTATTTACATATTATATTAAATATACTATAAGTAATATAATTATAATATTAAATATACTACAAGTAGTGTAATTATAATATTTAATAATTATATTAATTATATTATATATTATATTATAATATATTATAATTATATATAGTATATATATTATAATGTAAATATACTATAAGTTTCGAGTATTAAATATACTTAAAACTGAGAAAATGTTGCAATTTTGGACAAACAATTCTGGTACGTCATTCTAGCGCAAGAGGTTAACCCCTTGCGTTGGCAACTGGTACGCGGACCATAACGAGTGACCAAATACATATACAACGATTCTTCGCTCTCTGTTTCTTTTGAACTCGTCGGTATGATATCGCCGGATTGAAATTATTGAAAGGTAATAAACTTATCGTCTTGTTTTGCCTAATATACTTAAAACTGAGAAAGTGTTGCAATTTGGGACTGCTAGAAATAACTGTAAATCATGTATAATATGTACACAATATGTGGATGGATGCGCGACATCTATTGTCCTAAATAGTATTAAACTACTTGCCTCGTATATATATGTGTGTGTGTGTGTGTATATGTGTATATGGACCACATTAAGAAGAAGGTCTAGAAAAACAGTTGAAAGACTTTTATAGATCTAAGAGGAAAGTGATTGTAAGCTATGAAACCTCTTTAAAAGCCGAATATCTTTGCCTTGTAAAATAAATACCAAATTAACAACAGGGGCAAAAAGTTCTCGACGTGCGTGGCACGTCATACCAGCGCGAGAGGTGAAAAGTTCAAAGCATCATCTTTGATTCTAATTCATTGATAACTCTTTCCGAAATCTTCCACGATACAACAAATTGGGACGTGACACGAAAGAAAACAGACTGAAACGATCATTTCCACTTGGGCAGCCCGTCGAAGAAAAAATCAGAGCAGCAATATCACGAGGTAGCAATTGCAAGGGTGGTCGTTTTTGCTCGGCGAGCTCAGGGCAGATTGCGCCGGTCTTTCATTGTCCAGTTCTCTCTCCGATGCAATCAGCTCCGCCGTTGCCAGTAATTCTCGCAAGTAAAGCATAGTAACGCGGCCACATACTGGAGCAGGTTCTCGAGCAGCAGCAGCAGCAGCAGCCTCTCGCGGCTACGTTCATTCCGCAGCGTCCCGTGCGGACTGGTCATCATCCTGCCGGAGGACGACACAATTAAAATAGCTGTGCTTACCAAGGACCGCGAGAAGAGAAGAGAAGAGAAGCGACGAGAAGAGGAAGAATGGAACGATGGTGGTGTGTGGTCAGGATCAGAAGGAGAGGAGGGCGACCGAGGGAGTAAGAGGAAGCGAATAGTGGCGGCGGAGAAAGAAAGAGGAAGAGGGTAGCACCCCGGGGGTACCCGCGGCACCCGCGCGCACACCCGAGAGGGTGCTGGTAAGTTCTTTCCGCTCGGCTGCAAGCAGAAAGGGAATTATTTTAATTGCGGACAGCCTCGGTCGACCAACCCCCAACCCTCGTCTGGTTGCCGCTCTTTCTTCGGCCCGTGTATGCCATTCTCTGCCATCTCCCTCTGTTTCTCTTTCCCTCCCGTTTCGTTCCACAGAGCAAATTCCACCCTCCCCCTCCCCTGCCCTCTTTCCTCCAAAGTTCTCCGACCACGCGCATTTACGTACGGGGGTTTAAGCTCACGCACGCCTGCCTAGTAGGTGGCAGGATCTGCCTGCACGAGCGTGCCGCGTGAAAACACCGGCACACCGGGGTCGTCCCCCTTTCTTTCTTTGTTCGCGAATCAAACCTCTGCAAACGAATCGATTCACCGCTCCACTGATCATTCGTTTCCTTTTATGCTCGCCGTCTCTCTTCCACGGTTGATTCCTACTGTCGCACGGCCCAGATTTAGTTCAAATCTTGTCTTTCTTTCGCCTAGCTCGTGAACTGTCTCCTTTGAGTGTCGAAACCTCGCGGTCGAAAATTGTCCAGGCCAGCGCGTCAGGAGGGGATGGGGAACCGGCGATCGAATAATTCACGCTGCACGATACCCCGAGTGCTCTTAAATTCGTTCCGCTCGTTCCCTTTACGGCGACCGTCTATGTTGGTCCAGGTCTGGCAATTCACCGAAGGAATACGGCACCCGCTTCAATCGCAAATAACGCAGCTTCCCCCCCGTCCGTCCCTTCTTGGCACCCTTTTCCTCCTCTCTCCCTTGAAAGTAATGTACTACTTGAGGAACTAACAAAAGTACCACCGTGTTCGCCGCACTGCTGGTCGAACGACGCCGCGGGCGATTAATGTCAAACGGGGTGTAAGCAGAGTGAGCCTTCACCCACGATCTCTCGGATGGTACGTAGAGAACTGCTCCGATATCGTATTCGGCGGTGTTACGACTTCCACTTGTTGAAGCGGTGCGAATCGCGAGTCGAGAGAGGCACGCTGTGTACGCAGTAAGATTCGTCCCATCGGACGAATAAAGAATGCAGTGAGAGTAAAAGTCGAAGGAGATCTCCGATCTTTTGGCGCAGCTAACGGAGTGCGATTAACCGAGAGGAGTGGCGAGGAGAGGAGAGAATTAGATGAAAAACGAGTGAGTTGGTTGAACGAGGAGGGTTGAACCAACGGCGGGGGGTTGCGGGTGGTGCCGAGAGTGCAGCGGTGAAAGAATCTAACCGGAAGTACGCGGCGTGTGTAGGGAGCACATGCAGGCTTCGGAGGGGGGGGAGGGTAGTAGTACGGGTTGCAGTTTTCAAGCGTCCGCTTCCGGCCAGGGCTGAAAAGGACGCGGTTGGCTTCATTGTTAAACGGCGAAGCCGACGTCGTTGCTAGTTACCGTCGGCTAGCACCGCTGCCGGCGATGACGCAATTACCCGCCGCGGGAAAATAATTAATAACAATTAATCTCTCGTGTATGGCAGCGGCTGCTGGGTTCTGCTGATGGTAGAGTAGACGATGCCTGCCTGGGTAGTGACGGTGGTTGGATGCTGGTGGTGATGGTGGTGGTGGTGGTGGTGGTGGTGGTGGTAGTAGCAGGAGGAACGCGCAGAGGAGGCGCTATACTGCCCGCCCAGTAATTATGCTCGGATTATAAAGGTCGAGAGCCACCGCGAGTACTGAAGGGCTGTTCACTCGAACTGTTCACTTGGCATTTACACTTGCGGAACACTCTGAATCGCTCGAGGCCCCTTCCGCATTTCCACCCTCCTCCTCCTCCTCCTCCTCCTCTTCATCCTCCCCCCTCCCCCTTTTTTCACCGACAGGACCGACATCCCTCCTGCTTCTACACTTGTTTCCTATGCCATCAGCACCCACGACTGTTAGCTGTTAGCCCACCTTTTACACCGCGGAAACAATGAGGCTAGCCCCTTTTTCTCTTCTCGGCCCTTTCCCCATCGAGAGCCTTCCGGTCTTCGGCAGCGAACTTTTTGAGAATTCAGACCCTCCCCCCCCCCCTCTGCCTGCCTGCCTGCCTGCCTATTCCGTCCCTCTCTCCTCCGTTTCGTTCCGCGTTCCTGCGATCGCAGAACGTCGTCTTTGATCGTAGACGTAGTAGCACGTCCTCGAACGAAAGTTCTGCCGATAAAATCGAGTCGCGCGACGCGTTGAGCAAACGCGTTGTAGGGAAAGTGAACGCGAAACTGAACGAATCGAAAGTGGTTTGTAATGTAAAATTTTATTAATTTAAAAATTTAAGGAACACTTGCATTCCCTGGATACTCTCTGTCCGAAACTTTACTCTCAAACTTATCTCTGTTTTCATAGGCACGTCACTCATGTACATAAAATAATTTTACGTCTTAACCCTTTGCACTCCAATGTCATGCCGGAGATGACACTGTCAAAACGAATTTGTTACAGAACTAGTATGTCATGCTAGAGCTGACAACGTTAATTTACTTTAAAACACGTACGTACGTCACGCTGTAGATGGTAACATTAAATAACAGTAAAACACTATGTGGCATTCGAGATCCCACTCAGCAATAGTTTGCCAAGTTTTGTAAAAAAGAAAAATATAAAAATAAATATGAAAACGTTGAATTCTATTTTAATTCTATTTTAATAAATTTTATTTTAATTCATTTCCCCAAAAATAAGCACAAGTTTACAACCAACAACGTTGAAAATAAATCGAGTGCAAAGAATTAAGATTGGACAAACAGTTGCAAGTGCGACAATCGCAGCAGACGATAGTTGCCTCGCTCTTAGGCCTCGTTCGTTCAGAAATTCCAAACAACGAGGAACCTTCCCAATTGATGGAAATTTCACTTTCACCGTGAACTCACTCGGTATCGTGAAACGACAAAACGCGTAATTACTCCAACCACTTTTGCGCCGTCGTGCATTTACATGGGGATCGCGCGTCGCTCGATCGTCACCTAACCCGAAAAACACGCGTCTATGCATCGTCGGTGTTTTCCCGCGCGGCTCGTAAATTCAAAAATCAGCGTAACAAGCTACATTACCTAGCCACGGTAAAAACAACGCGCGTACGCGCAGCGTAACGTAATACACGCGTTGTAACGTTAACAGCGGTAAGTCGCGGGCGCGCAATGTATCGAGTTGATCGTAAACAACATCAGCATTCGCGGTTGCATTAATTCTTGGCAAATATGCAGCCTTCCTGTCTCACCCTGTTTCACCCTCCTTCGTTTTCTGCCCCTCTCTCCCTCTCTCTCTCTCTCTCTCTCTCTCTCTCGTTAGCTCTAGATATTGTCGTAACCTCTGTATAGCCCGAACATACGTTGGATCCGGTGCTCCGGACATTTGCGGCTCGTAATGATTATTATACCCGTGTAACTCATGTCCGACGCCTTCATCCTCATTCGCATTCTCGGATATTGCCGCGCGCGCCCTATGCATAAGCGTTAGTTCCACCGGGGGGGGAGGAAACAAAATTTCTGCTTACGTGCTTTCGCAATCGAACCGAGATACGGAGTTACCGCGAACTGTTTACGAATGAAAACGTAATTTATGTCAAACGTTTTAGCGCCCGAGGCTATTTTAACTTGGGTGCGCTGGAATGACGTGCCACGCACGTCGAGAACTTTTTTTTTTTTTTTTTTTTTTTTTGGTCCGAAATTGCAGCATTTTCTCAGTAACCCAGGCGAAACAAATAATAAATTTAGAAATGGAAGGAGAATAATTTACAAAATGATACTTGTCTCATCTTTCTGGTATTCTGACAGCATCAACAACTTTCAATCTAATTATATCGGCCAACAAGCAACTGTGTTTGTTTTTGCACAAAACTTTCATTAGAGAATAATGTATTGTCCATTTTTGTTCGATTATCTTAAATTGAGGAAGTTCTCATTTATTTCGACAAGAAACGGTCGAAGATTTGATATCCTCGTCAGTTGGCGAACCAATTCCAACATAGTGTTCCATAATTTTTGAAGGACATCTTCACCATACACGTTGGTTCATTTTTTTTACAAGCTTGCGCAGTGTTTCTTTTCTTTTTCTAAAACAAGCTTGAACAATCACACGTTATGTCAGAGTGGCTTTATAACAATTAATCACTTTGGAATTTACTTAGGAATGACAATTTTACTCAGATGACTTATTACAAAGATGAACCTTGACAATACGTTCGAGATGCTTATATAAATAATACATACTAGTTGTACACTTAACCGATACGAGATGTCACGATTATAATAGATCTGTAGTGATTATGATGATAAATAAATTAATATCACAACACTACAAATAAATAATAACTCCGTAATTAATTTTAGTAGTTTATATAAAAATATTATCAATGTAACAAAATATACAATTACTAATAATAAATATCAAATAACGAAGATTAAATAATGAAAGTTAAATAACGAATGAATAATTAACATGATGA